ACCAGATGAAGATTTTCATTTGTGAGGATTTCATGAGGCGTGAGACTATCGATAAGCTCTAACCCTGAAGTGAGAGGTGTATTTTCATCGGCTACCCACAGAAATCCTTTGGTTACCTCTTCTACAGACCCAGTGATAATGTGGTCTTTCTATAAAGGAGGAGAGTCTTTCGAGAGAGTGAGTTCATAAGCCAAGGAAACAGTGGGAGGCAAACTGAACTTGAAGAAATTCAAGATTCAAGTAGTGAAGGGACCTCAAACACTAGTAATCAACCTGAGGAGGAAACTCTGGTTGATCCAACTGATGAGTCTGTACCTCTGAGGCGTTCCACGAGAGTTAGGAATGCACCTGAGCATTACTATGGTTTCCATATTACTACGGAAGGTGATACACATATGAGTGATAACACACTGATTGGTCTGGATGAACCTAACAGCTACACGGAAGCCATGGCAGGCCTTGAGGCTGCTAAATGGAAAGAGGCTATGGATAGCAAGATACAGTCCATGTATGACAATCAAGTTTGGAACTTGGTTGACGATGTACCAGGTCGTAAGATAGTTGGGTGCAAATGGATCTTCAAGAAGAAGACAGACATGGATGGTAATGTACACACTTATAAAGCTTGACTGGTTGCAAAGCGATTTTCTCAAACTCCGGGAGTTGACTATGATGAGACATTTTCAATTGTAGCAACAATTAAGTCTATTAGGGTTATGTCATCCATTGCTGCATTTCATGATTATGAAATATGGAAAATGGATGTCAAAACCTCTTTCCTTAATGGAAAGTTGGCTGAGGATGTTTACGTGAGTCAGCCAAAAGGGTTTTATCAGAACGGAATACCCAAATAGAGTGTGTAAGCTTGAGAAATCCGTCTATGGATTGAAACAATCACCTCGCAGATGGAATCTTTTTTTCGATGAGAAAGTCAAATAGTTTGGTTTTTCGAGGAGTGAAGATGAATCTTTTGTATATGTCAAGGCTAGTGGGAGTATAGTTATCTTTTTGGTACTATATGTGGATGACATACTACTCATGGGAAATGACATCCGAACTTTGCAAGAGGTTAAGTTATGGCTTGGGAAGTGCTTCGCTATAAAGGACCTTGGAGAAGCTGCCTATATCCTAGGGATAAGGATTTTGAGAGACATGAGTAAAAGACTAACTGGACTTAGTCAAAGTACCTACTTGGATAAGGTTTTGAATAGATTCAGCATGCAGAATTCCAAGAAAGCAGAATTACTGATCCAGAGTAATGCCAGACTGAGTCAGACTCAGAGCCCGAGTACAGAGGTTGACATAGCTAAGATAAGTCGAGTACCATATACTTCCACTATAGGCTTGATCATGTATGCTATGACGTGTACTCATCCTGATGTGGCCTTCGCCTTGAGCATGGTCAGTAAATATCAGGGGAACCCTAGCAAGGCTCACTGGACTGCGGTGAAGAACATTCTCAAGTACCTGCGGAGGACTAAGGACTAGGTCCTTACCCTCGGTGGGAGTGATGACTTGACAGTAGTAGGGTATAGTGTGGCTAGCTTCCAAACTTATAAGGATAGTTTCGGCTCTCAGGCAGGCTGGGTCTTTACCTTAACAGAGGAGCAATAACTTGGAAAAGTTCCAAGCAGGAGACAGTGGTTGATTCAACTTGCGAATCAGAGTATATAGCAGCAAGCGAGGCAGAAAAGGAGGCTATATGGCTAAAGAACTTCATTGGAAACCTTGGAGTTGTACCAGCTATAAAGGAGCCTATGGAAATTTTCTGTGATAGTGAAAGTGAAGTTACCTTAGCTAAGGAACCAAGGGATCTCGAGAGATCTAGACACATAGATAGAAAATATCATTTCATCAGACATCGTATAGAAGAAGGACTCCTCATGGCAAAGAGGTATCATCGGATGAGAACCCAGCAGATCCCCTCACGAAGGGACTGGGTAGGGTTAAGCATCTCCAGCATGCGAGGCGCATAGGGCTGAAGGATGATATTAGTTTCAGTAGTTAGATAGCTTTGAAATTTATAAAGTGTATTTCACATTTGATGATGAATGAAATTTGTTGTTTATTTATGAGTAAAGGGTTGCTATGTTTTGTCAATCGTTTACTATAATTGCATTTTTCATGTTTTGACTTCCAGAATAATTATGTTATGGTATATCATATCATTTCAAATTCTCCATAGTCAGTCAAATGTTGGAAGTAGATATGAATCAAGACTGTCATGATTTAGCTTGTAGATGTCTAAGTTGTTGGATATAGCAAAGAGTTGCTACAACACTCATCAGTGCTCATAAGTTCTGAGTATTGGATTCAACCAGCTCTCACTTGTATCACTTCATGGAATTTATCTCGAGTGATCATGAGACAGTAATATCATATAAGTCTTCAAACCTAGAGATATAACGTGTTTCCTATGAGTTGGTTATGCATTGATTGTACAAAAACGCATTGGTAACTCGATATTATAAAACGTGCTTTTGTGTAAAATTCAACAAGTAGTAGAACAAGCATATGAGTCAAAGTTTATATGTTCCTTCTTGGATTAGAAGTGATATTTGGGCCACTCGATGATTGTGTTTTGACCTGTGTATCGGGCCCGGTCAGAACTAAATTGATGTGTTCGATTAAGTTCTATGTCAAACAAATCGGAAATCAGGAAACAACTGCAGGAAAAAAAGTAAGACATCGTTCCATGTATTTGTTCAGCTGATATCTAGAACAGAGGGTTATATGATCACTTATCTTAAATGGTGCATCATCATCATCATCATCTCAGTTCCGAGAGACCTTGAGAAAGCTACGATTGCTAATCGGTTCCTGAAGTCATACTTGTAGTTATAGTTATTAGACTCATCCAAGTGGGAGACTATTGGATTAGGTGTCTAAGTCTATAACTATTTTTGGTATGTACTTGACCCGGTTTGGCATGGTCCATTTGGGCTGCATGGCATCATGCGTTTCGATAGACCAAAATGAGAGAAATAACACTTAAGGTTTTGTAATATATTATAATTTCTAATATATTAATAATATTATTATTTAATTAGTATTGATCAAGAATTAATTTGGAAGTAATTAAGATATCAAAAGGAGACTAATTAAATATATGGGTTGATTGTGTGAATCATCCATAATTATATAGTGGGCTAATGTTTCATGGATTATCAAGTTGGGCTAAAACCCATAGGATGCTCCATGGATGCTCCATGGTGTTTATAGAACCCATAGGTCATGGAAATGAAAGCCATGACAATTAGCGTTTACATGGTGTAACCCTAATTGTAACACACTATATAAGTAACACTTTGTTCACCCAAAATCGGTCACTAAGATATACAAGTGAGGGCTAGTCGATTTCAAGAAGTGTTCCATTTCTTTCTAAGTTATTCCAAGTGCATTTGGTGTTGTGTGAGACATTTGAGGTATCAAACTTGAGGTGCTAGGCTCATAAGGTTTTCAAGGAATCCTAACTACTACAAGGTATGTATTTCTTACTAACTTTTATGTTTAAAAGTTCCCCATGTATGCTATATAGGTTATGAGACTTGGAAAAAGAATTTTGCATGTATCATAGATAAAGCATAGATCCACGGTTTCTAGGGTTACATGTACACCATAGGAGTGTTAGAATGCTCAAAACCCTTCAGAAATATGGAAGAAAGTGTGAAAAATGAAGGAATGACTTATATATGGGCATGGCTTCACGACCACCTTGAGTGTAGGGCCGTATACTCATGTGTGTGGTCGTACACTCCTCTTGATGGAGTTCTTGGCTCGAATGTAACATGAAGAACCTAAGTTAGCTCATCCCTAAACCCAAAACATGAATGTACTAGGCTTAGAACACTCAAATAGACCTTAAACAATGCAAAAAGATAGCAAAAATGACTCTGACTCTCGATTGATTGGCTGGACTTACAAGATAAAAAATTTTGGGTTGTCATATGTCGAGACAGGAAAAGTCCGTTAAAAATTCATAATTCCTTCATCTGACGTCTGTTTTCATCTTTCTTTTTACCGTTGGATTTCTCTTGATAAGATCTCCGATTCTCGTTTAGGTTGTGTTGTCTAAAAATCATTCGACCTTCTAATATATTTTCAGGTTGTGTACTACTATGTTGAATTTTAGAAAAATCCTAACTTTCTTATACGAAGTCAGATTTGAATGTTCTTTTTATGGAAATTCATGTTTTAATGTATCCTACAACTTTCATTTAGATTGTTAAGGATAAAAAGTATTTTATTGAAATTTCACTTTTCACACTTAACAGTGTTTTACCAGTTTTGTCGCGGATCTTCGATTGGTCATGACTTCTTCATTATAACTCCGATTTTAGTGTTCTTTATGTTTTTGAAAACCTTGTTGCAATATCTACTACATTATTCATCCCAATAAATATTACTCAACAATGTATTTTTGATTTTGTTTTCATTAAAATAAGTTATAATGCTTGACTTACATTATTACATTGATTTGAAATATCGGGTTGTTATAATATTAGGTTCGTTGAAGGAATATTTGTTGCAAACAGTTTACCCACAACCTTAACTTCATCTTCATTTCTCCCAAAAGCTTCTTCCCCAACAAACTCTTTCTCTCCCCCTACACCCCTGTGATAACAGGTGGGGCATGCGTTGGTAGAAAACTCATAAGCTTACACAACGGGGCCAATTCTTTGTGAAGAACATTTTTCAAATAAATGAAACTTTTGAGACGAAAACTCAGGAGTTACTAAGGCATAAGATCCTGACTACGAAACAAGTTCTTTCAACTCAGTTAGTAGCTTGTTAATTTCTGAAAAACTCTAGACTTCATCCTTAGACATTTGCTCCACCCTTGGACCAAGAACTTCATATAGCTTTACAAACTTCGTAACAGCATTGACAATTATATCAATTTTATAATTAAGGAAAGCAAAGTCTTGTTGACAAACCGTTATCTCCTTGCTCATATCATCTCAAAGTTCTTAAATTTTGAAGTTCACATCCTCCCTAACCTACTTGACATCTTGAATGAACAAGATGTGACGTTCTTTTGCAATATCCTTCAAATCCATGAGATCTAAAGATAACATAGATATTGATTATTGTCACATTTTTCATTATTACGATCCACATCATAAATGGCCTCATGAAGAAGGACTTCTTGTCGTTTAAGCATTATATCAACTTCCAAGTTAGATACCGAATGTTTCCCTCCTCCATCGGCTTGAATTTGTAATAAATAATTGAGCTTCCAATTCAAGAGTTTGAATTGTTTGCCCGTAAGAATCAAAGTTCCCTGGAATTTCCAATTCTTCTATATCAAACTGAATGTCTCCAGAAGTACCTCCAAAAACATTCTTATCGTCGTCAGACGAAGTATGTGCTTCTTCATGAATAACCAGAGGTTCAGTGGATTGAGAAGAAAATAAGGAAGTAATTGGCTGATCAAGAATGTTATTGAAAGTGGGTGAGTGGGTATCAAGTGAAATGGTAACGAATGGAGTAAAGTGTTTTGAAGTGTCAATGGTAGAAGTTTCAAAGACAGAATAAACAATAATAGGTGTACCTTGAGGTTGTCAAGTTTCGACATTGGACACCATAGGAAGAGAAACAATGATTGGTTCAGGCTGTGACAATTGCGAAGATATAATTTTCGTTTCGACATTTGAAGTATCTTGAGATGTTGTCACTGGACTTGAAATGTGTTTGGCCATATCCTCGGCTTTGCGTTTCTTTGCTGATAGGGAAACATGAATGGGAACTTAACAAAGTATAAAAACTTTTCTTGTAACATGAGGCTTGTGAATAATGGATGGAGAAAAACATGGAGACATGCCAGAAGAACTTCGTGACTATGTGTCATCTTCTTAATTTTCTTGAATAGACTGTTCTTCCACGAGCCACTTTTTTTAAAGGTTCGACAGTCATGGGTTCAATTTGTTTTTCCTCAGCCTTTGAAACAACAACTTCGTCATTTTCATTCTTCTTTCGAGACTTAGAACTTTTCTTCTACGGAATTCGTTTTGATGAACTGTCCTCTACCTTCTTTGATTGTCACACCCCCGAACCAGACGGCGGAAACGTCCGGGGGCTGTTGTGACTCAATTGAATACCATAACATTGTATATATATGAAACGTAACAACATTCGTCACCATGCATTAATATAGTACAACCAGTAAAGTTTACATGAAGTACATTGTTTAAACATTACATTCCCAAAAATAAATTGTTCGTTTCGTACATAAATAAACTGCAAGCCATCACTGAATATGATTTCCTTTGATTCACTGGTTCCCTGAGAATACAAGTATTTTGAAAAACGTCAACATATGAAATGTTGGTGAGTTCATAAGTAGTGTTTGAAATCCAATGTTTTGTATTGTTTGAAAACCACCAGAAAATCCGATATTTTCTAAAAATAGTATAGTCAAAAAGGTGTGAAGATCCATAGGTATGCTGGTTTGTTTCTATACTTGTAAAAATTGTTCATTAAAATTGTATGCATTCCGAATCCGTATGTATTGAAAAACCCTAGGAAAACCCGATGTTTTCCTAATTCTTTGAATTACATGAATTTACATTGAAACCATTGCAACGCGTGAAGTTATCAATACCAGGCGACGTTGGATTATTTTTTAGCATGATTATTTGCTACAAACGCGCGTTACACAAACGACTAGTCTATAGCAATACTAACGATCCCGTAGGCGTCGTCCGTACTAATCACGTTATCCAACCGCCTGACTACGTGTAGTCCCACATCCGAAGAGAAAGAGGACACGAAGGCCTCGATGACTCCATTAGCCGGTTGGGGATAAAAAGGTACGAGGGGTCCCAGACCCGCCTCGCATAAAAAGGTAGACTCTACTAGCAATACCAAAGGACCCTTGGGGACCAGTAGTATACAAGCCATTGAAAGTCCTTTTACGTTGTGTCGGATCGGTAAAACCCAACACTTCGTAAGATAGAGGTCTTCGGGCCTTAAGATCAGGTCATTGGGCTAGCTAGGCTCAACAAACAAGATTTTACACTTTTGGGGCCCAAAGATGGTGCGTAGACGTCTGTGCACACTCGCATGTATATTGAATTCCCAAACGTTATTAGTATGAATCGTAGTGTCGTAGTGTCATAGTGTCGTCGTGTTAGTAGTTTCGGATTTTTATTGGTTCGAGACCGAACCAATTCGTTTAACAACGACTTTTGGTGTTGTAATGTATTGTATTTCATCGATAGTCGCGGTGCCATCATTTGGTCAAATTGCATGTATTGAATTAGCCTTGAAAGTTTTCTGTTTTCAGCCCCTCATTGTTTGTAAAATTTACTTTTTCAACCCTTTATTTAAATACTTTCCGGTTTGGTCCTTAAATCAATTTTCTTGACATTTTAACACCAAAAATTATTGAAATTAATATTTTTCAGCATATTTTTCATAGAAAACACTTAAGTCCTGAAATTTAGTTTTCTCGGTTATAACCCTTCTTTTTCGCAATTTTGACAATTTTGGCCCAAATTGTAAAAATTTTGCAACTTTGGTCCTTTTTAAATTTAAAAAGCATTTTAAACCTTTGAAAAGGACTTGGAACACTTATAGTCCACTGTTTTACAGAAAAACACAGTTTTGGCCCTCCAAAACAGAAAATTTCGCATAATGGGCCTCATTGGGCCGAAAATGTCATTTTTAGCCCATTAAGCTTGAAATTTATGTTTTTAATTCTCTAAATGAGTATATTTCCAGAAATGGTTTTATTGAAACTGTTTTGACACACTTTATCCATCAAAGTTCGTGATATGTCAATTTGGGCCCTTAATTTTGTATTTTTCACATTTTAGGTCCAAAAATTGTGGTTTTAGCCCAAAGATATTATTACTAAACCACTTAGCTATTTTTATAGAAACACTTAGTATGTAGAAATATAGTAGAGGCTAAAATCATTTAACATAAGGTATATCTCGGTTTTGAGGGGTTTTATGGCTAAATCCAACATTATAACTCACAAAAGCACACATATAAGCATGGAAATCATAAAAAGCATACAAAACACATATAGATCTACCCTTTCACTTGTATTCCCCCCCCCCCCCAAAAAAAAAAAAACTCATAAAAACAGAAAATAGGAGGTATGAAGCTCACCTTGTTTAAAGCTTTCGGTTTTTGAGGAAAAGAGGGAAGAAAATGAAGTGATTTTTTGGCCTTAGCACCTTTCCTTGGTATATCTCGAGTTTGGTGACTTCTAAGGTGTACGATCACAAGTTAGAATAGATTTAGAAGAGGTTTTTGATGGAATGAAATAGCTAGATCATGTATATATGTGAATACTTACCTAAGATGGTGATTAGCTTGAAAGATCCTCTTGAAAGCTTCTTAGGATCTCGAAATTGTGGAGAGGAAAGGAGAGAGTTTCTTGAGTATTCTTGAGAGAGTTTGTGAAATGTGTGTGTGTTTGAGATGTGGCTGAGAGTGAGAGAGAGAGGAAGAAGAGATGACCTTTGAAGTGATATGCATGGAGATATGGGATAAGTTGCATGGATATCCAAAAGACAATAATGAAGTGGCAAAACAAAGTCAACTCTCTTCCTTTTCTTGGGTTTGGGCCTTGGGCCGAGATTTTTGGAAGGGAAAAGGAAAATTTTGGGCCCTTGCTTCTAAGCCCAATGTTAGAGTTAATTTGGGTATGTTTTAAGTCTAAAATAATGTGGTAGGATTTTTATATTTTTATTGGACTAGTTTAGGTTATTCATGTATCAAGGCTTTTAATTCATTTCATTCTAGGCCCAACATGGCCCAAAATGTTGAAATAAATTAGTGTGGGTCCAATTAGAGCCCAATTAGGGTTCTAAGCCCATGATAGTCTAATTGGAAGCTTATTGGTCCATTTGGATCCAATAAGGAAGTCCTAGTCCAAAATGGACTTAAACAAGGACTTCTTGTTGGATAAGGTGTCTAAGTCCATAACTATTTCTGGTATGTACTTGACCCGACCCGGCATGGTCCATTTGGGTTGCATGGCACCATGCAATTGGATAGACTAAATGAGAGAAATAACACTTGGAGATTATTAATATATTATAAGTTCTAATATATTAATAATATTATTTGATTAGTTTGATCAAGAATTAATTTAGAATTAATTAAGTGATCAAAAGATAACTAATTAAATATATGGGTTGATTATGTAAATCATCCATATCTTGTATAGTGGGCTAAAAGGCTCCATGGACTATCAAGTTGGGTTCCACCCATAGGATGCTCCATGGATGCTCCATGGGAGTTACAAACCCATGGGTCATGGAAATGAAGAGTCATGACACATTAGGGTTTAACCCTAGATGTGTCAACACTATATAAGTAACATATTCTCCACCCAAAATCGGCTACACTAAGAAACAAGAGGGCTTGGCCGATTTTGAAGAAGTGTGTTCTCTCATAAGTTCTTCCAAGAGCATTTGGTGTTGTGTGAAGCATTTGAGGCATCACACTTGGGGTGCTAGGCTCACAAGGTTTCAAGGAACACAAACAACAACAAGGTAAGTTATTCTATCTATACTTTATGTTAAAATTGTTCCCCATGTATGCTAGATAGGAATATAACCTTGGAATTCAACTTTGCATGACAATTAGACAAACATAGATCCAAGGTTATTAGGGTTGCATGTACACTTAGGAAGTGTTAGAATGCTCAAAACCCATCAGTGGTATCAGAGCCTAGGCTTGTTTGCTCTTATTTGTGCTTAAAAGTTGAAAACAGAATCGGAAATTTGCTGTCTGCGAATGGACTCGTCGAGTCTATAGGGGGGACTCGTCGAGTCCATGAGTATCTTCAACCAACTCGGCGAGTCAGTTCATGCACTCGGCGAGTAGGGTCGATGAGTGCAGAATTTCGATTCAGTTGCTGGAAATGAATTAGAAACATTACCCTAAACTGTTTTGGTAATTGAAAACTTGTTTTTGGTGGTGTAATGTCTTTGCTAATTCATTTACAACAACTAGTTATCAAAATTACAAAGTTTTATGTAATTTTTGATTGTGTTCATATTCATGTTCTTGTTCTTATGATGTTTTAGATGATCATAGGAATTATTTGTAACCTATTGGTAGTTTAATTCTTGATCATAATGTGTTTTAATGGAGTCCATAACTTATCCTTAAGTTATGGAAAACCAAGAGTCACACTTGAGTTAAAACCATTAAGAAAACACAAGAGTTAGAAAAATGAAGAGTCTTCATTTTATTACTCTATTAAACTCATAAGTTACAAGAAATGAAAAGTTTTGAAAGTTACAAAACTTGCCCTCAAGTTTTGGAACAAGTAAAGTTAAGTTAAAACTTTAAGTTCCAACCCCTAGAATTTTAAAAGTTAAAATTCAACCCTTATACTTATATTATGATGATTTAATAATATATATATATATGTATAAGAATAAAGTCGTCTTACCGCTAGTACGCCTCATTCACGAAGCCGGTCTATAAGGTGGGTATAAGGTTGTTGCCTATAAAATGGTGACTTAATGGGTGTATTCTCACCCACCGCTTGCTTGACTGGTGGAGGGTCGTTAGCCGAACGGGTAAGACAAGGACTTATAAATTCTCATTCAAAGTATGATGAATATAATAAAGTAACTAAATGTTTATTAAATTCCCAATCTTAGTTACTTTAGGAAAAAT